GTTAAAGTAAATGTATTAAAGATGTGATGGTCTCAGATCAGCAGCTTCTCAGATCCACATCATGTGTCGATCAGCTGCACGTGGATCTCGTCACATCTCGCGATAGTTCCTCACTAACTTACTTCCGCCCTGAGAGAGTCGAAGGTAAGGTCCTGAAAGCTCACAGTTTAAAATTACTCCCGAGGTTTTTTTTTATCTGTTTAGGTCCTGGAGCTGAGAGTTCAATCCCGGAAACACATGATTGAATCCAGTGGGACGTGTTTATATCTCTGCTAGCTCGCAGTGTCCGGCTAGCAGCGGCTGCAGTGTCAGGCACGGTGTGTGTTAGCTTGTTTGCTAACTTGTTCACATCAGCGCTCAGGATCTGATCTGAAAACACGGGCAGGTAAACTTCGTATAAATGTGGAAAACGTAACGAAATGCACGATTAGAAAGACACAGGGTTATTGGGATGGTTTCAATAACTAATACTGAAACTGACTGAATGGATCAACATCTGGTCAGTTACAGATGTTAAACCAGTCTCCACATCTGAACACAGCCAAGATTCACCACTTTGTTTTCTATTACGTGTCTATGAGAGGTATTACGGTAAGAGTGGGTAAAACAGATTTCACAATGAAATCAATTTCACGTATATATATTTTTTTTACATTGATAATCTAAATATTTGTTTTCTGTTTCTGACATGAGCAGTACAATTATTCTAATGTTTAAATATCAAATTCATTGATGCACAAATAATTATTAGTTTTACCGATGATTAAAGCAAATAGCAAGAAAGTTAATATATTGATGTTTCTCCTTTGCTGCTGTTTTGATTCATGCATTCTAATTCCTGGGTTATTTTTTAATATACTTGTTTGCTAAATCATTTTCAGAATGACTGAATGTATTTTCACACAATCCCCTCAGGAAATTTTTTCCCACTTATTTTGAAAAAGTTTCAATTTAAGGATTCGATTAAAAAAAGCCTGACAATAATGAATGAATAAAATCAATAGTGAATGGAAAAAATAGCTCTTGACTACGAAACTGTATTTCAGAGGAAATTGAGGTTTTGTCTTTTATTTTGCTGGATACTCCTACCGTAATATGTAGTACAGACACGTACCGCAAAACCAAATGTTTTTTCTCATTTTTTTTCAAAGTTTTGCTGCAGTGAAATTCCAGATACCTTTTTCCAGCTCTTAAAAATTTCTGGAATCTTTTATTACTTTTCTAACTTACATGTTTAATTTGAGAATTGGATCTATAAACTGTCACAGTATTTAAAACTTATAAGACTAAACTGGAAAATAACTTAATCAGTAATTAAAAATAATGATTGATTGAGTAAGGGATAAATGACTGTGCATGAAGTAAGTACTAATGTCTTACAGAGTATCTGATTTATATAGCACTTCTCATACAAAGTTACAAAGCGCTTCACAATCAAAGGACCCAAGTATTCACTCAGTCTTCTGCACTGTTGCTTTGTTTCTCTTCAGGAGCAGAAGTGATCATCTTAGAGGAGAAGATGTCTCAGAGAACAACAGCGTCATCCCTCACGGCCGTTCATTCACAATCACACAAGCAGAGCATCCTGAGCAAATTCAACAACCTCAGGAAAAGGGACCTTCTGTGCGATGTCACTTTAGTTGTGGAGGACGTGCACTTCAGAGCGCACAAAGCTCTGCTGGCAGCGAGCAGCGAGTACTTCTCCCTCATGTTCACCTCAGAAGATCACATCAGCCGGTCCACCTTTACACTGGGAGGTATGGAGGCTGAGATGTTCTCTGCCGTGCTGGAGTTCATCTACAGTGCACACGTGTCCCTGGAGGAGAGTTGCACTGAGCAGCTCTTGGCCACGGCTCGTCTCATGGAGGTCAGCGACCTTGTCAAAGTGCTCACTGAACTCACACGCTCTGCAGCAGGGGTTAGAGGTGACCAAGCCACGGTGCCTGATCTGTCGAAACGCAAAAGAGGACGGCCAAAGAAAAGTGTGGACGTGTCAGTGACAGAGCTGGAGGAGAGAAGTGGACCGTGTGAGGGCTCAGAGGAGGGTCAGGCTGGAGATGTGGACTTGCTGCCTGAAGGCGACTCAGATTATAACCCACCAGGGCCCCAGAGCCGACAGAGCAAACGCAAAATCAGACCTCCAATAAAGTACAAGAGTTACAAAGTGGATCAGGACACAGCAGTCAACAAAGAGCCTAAGAAAAGAGGGAGGAAAAGAAAATATCCAAACACAGAGGCTCGATGTGAGGACTGTGACAAAGTGTTTAAAAACCACCTCTTCTTAAAAATTCATCAAAGAACTCACACAGGTAAACACACTCATATTTATTTATTTTTTTTAAAGATTACAGAAAGGATAAGAATAGGTTGTTGGTTTTAATCCAAGAGACACATCCTCCTTTCTAACTACAGTTTATTACAAATGAATTCTTACTGTCATAGTTTAGTCTTTTATTCCTTTATGTCCCTAAACACAACATAATAAAGTAAAATAATCATCTACTTGTCCCTCAATGTTGAAAGTTGCAGAAAGAGGAATAGTGAAAAGGAAGTATCAGTAGTAATAATAATTAAATACTAATTAATAAGGAAACAGATTAAACAAGATTTTCCTTGGAGCTCATGAGGCCAGGGTGCAAGGAAGATGTTTCCAGATGTAGGAACTGCAGATGTGCTTGAACAAGGCTGGATTAACAATTCTGACAACTGCCCAGGGGCCCAAGAAACCCAGAGGCCCCAAATTCAGCTATACTCTATATTATTTGTCAGATAGATAGATAGATAGATATATCTGGGTGCCTGATAAAACCGGTGTAGAGACTCAACAAGCATTTCTTCCCCCTGGTGCTGCTCAGGTCTACATTGAGTATCTGTGTGATAAAGGTTTAATTAACAAACAGCCGCATCCATCCAAATGTTCAATTCTTGAAGGACAGGGTGGTAAGTTGACTGTATATAATATAAACCAGTATTCTTCACTGTATGTCACTCTGCTCCCTTTAGGAGAGAAGCCTTTCCGATGCCAGGTTTGTGGGAAGAGTTTCACCCAGAAGCACACGCTGCTCGTACACCAGCGCATCCACACCGGAGAGAAACCGTTTGTTTGTACCATCTGCTCCAAAACTCTGTGCACCAAACACACCCTGCGAGAGCACATGAACCTCCACAAAGGTGCAATCTGAGGAAGTGTTGGAACGTTCTTGTGAAAACTGCATTTTCAGAATCTGAACATTATTTCTATTTATCTTAACATTCTATATAATCTGTTAGTGTTTCTCTTGATAAACTGTATATTGTTGTTATTTCACTCACAACAGAAGAGAAGTCCTTCAGCTGCGATAAATGTGGAAAGACCTTCACTCAGAAGAGGCAACTCAAGAGTCATTACAGAGTCCATACAGGTGAGAGTCATTTCTGTTCAGCAGGTGTATTCTAATGTTGTAACTTTAAAGGCAGAATTTTATTGTTTGCTTTTTTTTACATTTTTATTTTTAAATTTAAGGGAGATCGTTGCCGGAATGTGCTCAGTGTCATCACAAGTTTTTGGACACGGCTCAGCTGAAAAAACACCTGAGAACACACACAGGTAAAATGTGATTATGCTTCAACAGATCTGAGAATAAATACTGAGACATTTAAAAACAACATCACACTAACAACAGCATTCACATGGATAATGTTTTCACAGGGGAGAAGCCTTTCACATGTGAGATTTGTGGGAAGTGTTTTACAACCAAGAGCACGCTGCAGACTCACATCCGCATTCACAGGTGAGAAATGAGATATTCTGATTTTACTTGGTTATAACGACTTTAATTCATTTCTAGATCTTTGTTAGAGCAGCTATAATTAATATTCATATACTGGCATTGGATCAAATCACGACATGCACGACAAATGTTGATTGGTTGTTGGAGAGCAAAAACATATCTACTCATATCTGGAGTAAAACAAACAATTTTACATTTGACCATTTTGCATTTGGATTTCATCATTCATCAGTCTTCAGTCTGCAAAGTTTCTCTTTGCAGTTTATTTTAACAGTGGCGGTCGTCTTCTGTTGATAGTTTTACTTTTTCAAAGAGTTGTTTCTGAAGCTGTGGGTTTTTGTTCAGGTATGATGTGAAAAAAGATTTTGTTCATTTCTGCTCCAAAAAAATCTTAATTCTAATCTCATACCAAAACAAAAGGGTTAACTATTTTTCTTTTACATTCGGTTTCAAATATTTATCTTGTCCCTGACATTTTTAAATTTTGAAATAGACGATAATGTCATTTTTAATTCTTTGTGTTTTATTGAATATTCTTGATGTTATATTCTTCTTCTTTGCATTTTGTTTTTTTAGTTTGGTTGATGAATGAAATAAACATATAAATAAATAGATGTTTATCTTCAGTTAAAACCAGTGATTGTGTTTTTCTTCTTTTCCAGAGGTGAGAAACCATACGAGTGCCACATCTGCAACAAGTCGTTCTCAGACCCCAGTGCGAGAAGACGACACGTCACCTCTCACTCCGGAAAGAAACCTTTCACGTGCTCCTCCTGCAACCTTTCGTTTACTCGTCTGGACAATCTGAAAACTCACACCAAGTCTCACAGCAAGGAGCGAGCGGCGTCCACTGAGTCCTCGTCAGATACAGCGGCAGAAACATCGGCAGCACCTCAGGAGGAGGTTCGCAACATCCTGCACCTTCAGCAGTACCAGCTCCCCTCCGGCTCTGAACAGGGGATCCAGCTGGTGGTGACCGGAGATATGAATAACATTAACTTTGTGCCGGGTCAGGAGCAGGAGATCAGCATCATCACCACAGAAGGTGAGACGGCAGAATCATCCGACTCTAGACTCACCCTGCTCACCCAGCCGTCGGGACACATGCAGAACGTGGCCCTGGTCGCTCAGGGCGCCATGGTGGACCACGCCCCTCAGATTCAGACCGTCAGTATGCTGGAGGGACAGATGACGCACCAGTCGGAGCAGATGCATGTCATCACTCTGAGTAAAGAGGCGATGGAGCAGTTGCAGTCCCACCACGGCCCCCCGCAGCCCCTTCAGGTCGCACAGCGACCCGCCCCGCAGCTGCAGGTGATGCATCAGCCGCTCCAGCAGCTGGCCGTCACTCAGCTGGGCAGGGAGCAGCACAGTCAGGCCATTCACATCAGCAGCCAGAGCTCACAGCCCATCTCCATCAGCCAAACCAGCGAGCAGATCTCCAGCCACCACATCCAGGGACAAACCTTCCAGATCCAGGCAGGAACCGTCTCCTACCTGTACACCACCGGGCTCCCGCAGGAGGGCTGAGAGCGGAACTGTGACGCTGATGAGTCTAAACTGATAGATGCTGCTGCAGGACACGAATATAACAGGCAGGTTTTACTGCTTTTCCAACTGTAGAGCAATGGTTTGACAATAATGTTCTTGTGAGAGCAAATCCTGATGGGAAAATAAAACTAGAAAATTCCTCCTGGAGAAATTTTGAATGGGTGCCTTGTGGTTGCTGCCGTCTCCACAAAGAGTCACATTATCCAGGTTGGTGACAGAGAGAGAGGGAAACTGTACAAGTTTAAGAGGAAGGAGAGAGACCCTGAGAGAGCGATAGAGACAGTGAGAGAGAAAGACCTTTAGAAAAGCTGCTTTTTGATAACATGATCCAGGTTGGTGAGAGAGAGTGAGAGAGAGAGATTGCGCCAATTTCAGACAGGGAGAGAAACCATGTTTTAAGGTTGTAAGGTCTTATCACCATCCATGGGTTTTTATTTTAAAAATCCAGCCTCCCTCAGGCTTCCTGGGAACATCCTGTAACTATCTGTGGTTTTTATTTTGAAAATCTCGGCTCTTTACAGGTTTCCTGATAACATCCTGTTACTAAGGGGGGGGGCATATTTTGAAAATCTAGGCTCTTTAAATGTTTCCTGATAACATCCTGTTATTATGGAGGGGACTTATTTTGAAAATCTAGGCTCTTTACAGGTTTCCTGATAACATCCTGTTACTATGGGGGGGATTATTTTGAAAATCCTAGTCCTATCTGTGAAATAAAAACACTGTGAGAATCCCAAGACTTTGCCGTACTCATATATTTTTTATTGGTTAGAGTTAAAAAATGTGATTGTGGGAGTGGGTTTTGACTGTTGTTCTTCTCTCTGACCTTTTTTTTTTTTCAAAATTCACATTACAGCCAATGGAGAGGTGAAAACAGAAAACTTACACACACAAGAAATGATACAGCCAAAAGTATAGGTCCGAGAGACGTCATAGTGACATGCGATGGATAATAAGAGATGATAAGATAAGCTGAGATGATAATGAGATGAAAACAAGATAAATCCTCTCAGGTTTACATCTTGGCTTTTTGAAATCGAGTTAATTGGACTTTGTTCAGACAAACAAATGATCAGCAGCGTTCTGCAGCTGGAAAAACTCGCTCAACAACTCCCTGGCTTCATGAAACTTCCCCAGGGGAGAATGTTCTGCGTCTCACAGCTCTGGTAGTAACGTGTCTGCGGTCAGGACCTGCAGGCGAGACGGATCCTGGAAGAGAAACAAAAACACTGCTGGTGTTTATCCAAGAACAATGTTACAGAACTCATAACTTAAATATAACATCTACAGTTTGTTGCATGTATTTCTCTGTTATTCTACAACTGTCCCTGGAGAAAACTTCACATTACAAATCTCCAACACTTCCTAGTTCTGTCAACAAACTCTATTTATATCTGTAGAAACAATAGAGGAGCTGAAAACCAGTTTCTATTATGTCAACTTTGCATTGAGCTTCTTCATTCACTTCTCAACAGAACACGTGGGAGTTTAAACTTCAGTTGAACTCGGTTGAATTCTCTGTGTGTGACGCTGCGGAGTCTCACTCACTGCTTTGGCTCGGACCAGTCTTGTGTTTGAACGACTCCTGGCTGCGTCGACTCTCTGGTGTCTTTGCAGGTCCGACTGCTGCCGACTGACCCTGTGCAGACCTGAGAGAGACGCAGAGCAGAGGCTGAGTTCAGATATCATTATGACAAGTTACGAGTGTCTGGATCATCTCATTTTACTTCTGAGCCACATGAGCAGCTTATATACGATTGTCTTTGAGGATCTCTCCAGTGCTCGGAGGTGTTATTGCTCTGTGGTGGTTTCAGTACCTGCTGAGGGACTTCTAGAACTCAATCTGCTGACCGACAGCGTGAAACACGTTCTGCTTTGCCCTGTGACAGACGCAGAGAATTAGGAATTACCTGAAGCAAATGGAGAAACTGTCCAGTGTGTAGAGACCACAGTTTGTACCTGCTGTAGAGTTGCACCTGGAGGAAGCAGCGTCCGTGTCATTCACCTGATGTTTCAGCTTCTCCACCTGCTGAAAAGCTTCTTGTTTGAGGGAGCGCTCCTGATGAAGCTGCTCCTTCACCTACACATCCACACATATAGTTTGATTACTTGACCTTTGACTTTTTGTTTCTTTGTCATTATCTAGAATTAAATTGATTGGCATGAAATTTGATAAAGATGTTCCAAGAGAGTGAATCTTAATGACTTTGGTTCACTTCCTATTCTAATCCTAATCTTGAGAGCATCCTCTTCACTTTAAGCACTAAAATGCAAAAGAAGTCTATACATCTTTTCATGTGTTTTAAATCAAAATCAAATGTTCTTCACTTTTTAAATAATTTAAACTATTCATAGATTTATTCTCTAAAAAAATGTGCCTATCATCACTATTAATCCAAAATCCAATCATCAGAAATGTTGGTGAAAAGTAAGAAAATCCTGATAATTGACTCTTTACTCATGAAAAGCGTTAAAGATACAGATGTTGTCTCATATGTTGTGTTCTGTGGAGTCTGTTGTTATGCGATCTCATTCACAGACCTGTCGGATCTCTCTGGCGCTGCGTTGTCTCTGTATCTGGCTCATCCTGCCTCCTCTGTCCAGCTGCTGGTTGAGCGCTCGGAGCTGTCCGTCTCTGTCCTCCACATCAGCCCTCATCTCCTCCAGCCTCTGCACTCGGTAACTCTCCAGCTCCTGCCTGCTGCGAGCCTCCTGTGCAGACTGATGCCGGGCCTCCTGCAGCTCCTCCGTCTGAGAGCGAGTGTTAAAGTGTTTGGAGTGAATACAAGCTGTGATTTTCTGAATCATAGGTTCTAAGTTTCTCAGTCTCTCACTCAGAAATGTGACAGTGTGTGTTAGTGCAGCAGTGAAGTCTCCCCACCTTCCTGTCGAGCAGCCTCTTGGTGCGGCTGCACTCGGCCTGGCAGCTGGTCAACATCTGTCGGGCAGCGTTCAGCTCCTCCTGCAGGAAAATCACCTGGTCCTCTGCAACCATCTTCACTCTGAGCGCCTCAGTGCGACTGGTGATTTCACTCTGGACATGAAGGGTGATAACTACAGCTGTAAACACTGTGATGCTCTTTAATGATCATTTCACAAGTAAAATGTAATAAAAAACATATGACAGGAAAAAGCACACTCGGGCGATAAAATATATACTTTGTATATATTTCTTATACATCTTTATGTTGATCAGAAAAGGATTTTAAGTACCAACCTGCCTGCTAAAACATTTTTTTATAAATATTATTATATGGGTATTGTCCTTTACCTATTATCAGTTAATTAGAAAATAATCATTAATACACATATGAGCATTAAAGAAATCGAAATATATTTAGAGCAAATATGTGAATCACATAATAAATTAAAGTCTAGTAAGTGAAGTGAGACTGAGAAAATTAAAAAAATAAGGAACTAAAAATTTTAGCTTGAAAAATATATTTTTTACACTTTTTTTTCAGATTATAAAAGTAAAGGCAAAGATAAAAAACTTTTTAAAATCAATTTAAGAATATATATATATATATAGAGAGAGATAATTCTCAAATGTATTTGATTCGACCTTTAAACATATGTGATATCATATTAAATAGACAGTGAGGAACACTGACAGCGTTTGGTTTTCATTTCCTTCCTGCACAAAAAGAATGGGACCTGAATAGCGAGCGTTTGTTTGTGCTGCTGACCTGCTGAGTCTGAAGCAGCCGTCGGTGAAGCTTCCCCTGGTCGACCACCTGCCGCCATCGACTCAGAGCCTTCAGTTTACAGAGCAGAGCCGTCAGCTGACTGTTCTCCAGACTCAACTCGTGGACTTCTTCCCTCTGACAAAGATGTGTGTTTAAAGGTAAAGCATAAACGTGTCTTCTGATATTTTTGTAGATTTAGAAATCATCAAATTACTGACACATATAAAAGTCTTGCCTGTTTGTACCTTTAACTGTGTGAGGGAGAGTCCATCGTTGTCTTTGGTGCAGCCATGTTTCTTTTTGAGTTTCATGATTCTGTCGACTCCCTCTGCTCGGATTGTGTTCACCATCACACTCACGTCCTGCTCCACCTGCCACTGACGCTCATCGAGTCCAAGCTGAGGTTCACACAAATAAACATCTAACATCTCAAACAAGGAAATAACATCACAGGAGCAAACAGTCAGTGATGAATAATAAACATGAGACTGGAAAAATGAAGTTATCACTCAGTTTGTAGAAGAGGTTTAAAAGAAATCAGTAGAATTAAATATAAGAAACCTTTGCTGCCTGAGCAGACCTTTGCTTTATGTATTCATTCTAGATAAACACGTACGAGATAGAATTTGTCACCTTCAGCTGGAGGCAGGTGGAGAAGAGATGTCGGACCAAAGGGTCGTAACGCTCTTTAAACCTCAGACTGAGTCGTTCTTCCAGAGAACGCTTCTCTTCTTGGAGGTGAGCGACTCGAGCCTGCAGAGCTGAGATCTCCAACATCATCCCGCGACACAAAACTGACACCTGGGCAACAGTAACACACGATTATTCATTTGTGCGAACACGTTTGTTTGTGATGATCTCAACATACAGCTGGAGGAATGTGGTGATACGTTTTAGAGGTATCCTAAAGCTTCAGAGGCTTACCCACATCGTTAGGACCACAATTATTTACACAAAATGTCGTGGTCGTTCATCCAAGAAATGAAGACAAACAGATACTCATAGACATTTGTTTTACCACGTTCGTCACCCAGTTTTATTTCCCTCCAGACGAACTGACCAACATTGTCATACCATGAGTAAAACTCTTAGTTTCCCAGCTGTCGAGTTGACAGAAAGTAGAAACCTCACAGATGAGCGCTCGTGTGAATGTCCACCGAGAGAAGAAAGACCTGCGGTGAGGATTAAGCTCCCTCTCTCTGTCTTTCTTTGTCTTATTGTTAAACACAGTGTTTATAGTTCTTACCTCTTTGTGAACGTTACTTGTCTGAGAGTCGTTAAGATTCTTTAAATCCTGAGGTTAAAATGGAAAAAGGGAAAAATTCAGAGTAGAAATTATGTGACAGACCAAAGATTTGACAAGTTACTACTAACACAAAGATCTTTCTGTCTAAAGGTCATGAAGTCATGAACATTAGTTCTTGAAGAAGCAGTCTACATAAACCACCAGTGAAATGAATTGTTTGTGATGAACTGCACATGTACTTGTTCTTTCTGATACAGCAGCTGAGTCTGCTGCTGCAGAATTTGCTCATAGAAGTGTGAGTAAAGCAGGAAGCTGCGACGCTCTCGCTCCATCAGAGAGGAGCCGAGGTGAGTGGAACACAGCCGGAGATGATCCTGAGAGATCACCAGCTGGAACAAGAGACAACAGGAGGATTAGCTTTCAGCACGGAAACAGAAAGACACGGGGAGAACAATATGATCACAGGAGGGTTTTCTCCTGCTCTGGTATTGTGAGTGAAGGTCACAGTAAATATGTAAAACAGCACATACTCTGTATTGTAATAGAGCAGTAAAAGACCTGTTTCTAGTAATGATTTTGGTTGTGATTGTCGGACAAAAGCAAAGAAAGAAAAACTGAAATCTGGAATTTTATGTCTGTATTTCTTAAAGACAGAATTTGAATTTATTTCTGAGTTGTTTCTCTTTTTTTCCAGATACACGTGATGGCATTAAGTTGCATTTTAACTACAAATGTACATTTGAAACACAGCGTACACGCAGATATTACAGCGTACATGTTTCCAGCGTGGTTTTTCCTACCTGTCCGTCCACCTGCTCGGCTCCTTCCATCAGCTGCTCCACGAAGGCCTCCACGATCTGCGGCCGCTCAGGAGACACACTGTGTTTCAGTGAGGCCTTTTTCCACAGCTCTGAACAAACATGGAATATTTTTATTAAAACTGCAGCTCTGTCATTTTCTCGTCTGGTTAAAGGTGGACTCTGTGTTTTTTTTGGTACCTGTAGGGAGACATGGATCCTGACGGGTCCGCTCCGAAAGCACCAGGGTCAGCTCTCTGTGGACCCTCCTCTGCACGGACCTGATCATGTCGCACTCGGTGATCTCCAGCAGTGTGTGAAGCTGAGACATTGCACCAGGTAATCAGGTCTCGTTATGAACACATGAGGCTTTTCATTGTGTGCTTTTGTTGAAATTGTACCTGCCAGGCTTTCACGTCAATCTCTGAAGCTCCAGCAGGGGGCAGGAAAGACCGGCTGCCAGAAATGAGGAGCTCATAATCACGCTCTTTACCCATTTGTCGAGCCAGAGCTTTCATACTGGGGTAAAAGATTTCAGCTCTGTAAAGCAAAGACAACTTTAGATATGATATTGATCAAATAAAATCAAATAATGAACCTTTTGGGAAGCAGCTATTAAAAGAATCAGTGCTGAACATGAGATTCAAAGGTCAAACTTCATCATAGAGACAACAGGTGAAGTAATGATCTTCCTCAAGGTCCTTTATGAAATGCTCTTAATTTGTTACCTCAACCAAGGGGGTTATGTTTTCACCCCTTTGTGGGTTGATTGGTTTGATAGTTATCTATGAATGTGTGAAATTTGGTGCAGTGTGATTAGATTTAGGGCGACTGTTGGGCCTTGGTGGAGGTGTGTCCTCTGCTGGGCGCCATTCTGGGCACGTGAAAGTATAAAAGTCAGACGAGGAAGTAAATTTACTGACAAACATTCTGGGAAACGGTGAAAAGTTCCAGAACAACGACTCAATTGACTATTGCAGATTTACAAACATTTACAGCTGCTGAAATCAAATAAAATCCTGACTGTACCTGTAGAGGTTGATGAACTGCTGATATGAAGTGGGTGAACTGAATATCTCAGGACCCAGACGTCTTCGAGCCCAGCTCTCCTTAAAGACCTGAAGCTGTTTGGTCAGCAGGAGGAAACCTTTCAGCACACGCTGCACTCGGAGCGGATCCTGAGGAGGAGGAGGAGGAGGAGGAGGAGAAGTGGAGTTCAACACACACGTCTTCTTCTCTTCCACTTCTGAGCAGCTTTTGTCCTCCTGAGACGAAGACACAACAGAGTTAATGTGACCTGACGTTTAACAAATACAACAGAGTGGGTTCGTTACCATGAGCAGCCTTGTGAATACACTTTGTATCCCAGCTGTGTGATTGGCCTGGCTGAGCGTGAATTTGCGTAACAACTTATAAACATCTTCGTCTTTTACTTCATTAGGTTTTCCATCGTGCAGAAGGTCATCTTTGTTGCCATGGAGACGGACGGGCTCTGCGTCTCCTCCGCTGTTCAGGACGTCCTCCATGAGCAGAGACACGCCGAGGATCGCTGCATTGGTCTGCAGTCTGCTGCAGTCCTTCAGGCCACTGAGACACAGCTGCACACAAACACAACACACACACAACTGTTTGTGTGATCGTGTCTGTGATAATGTAGGATGGGTGTTTCTGTCTGTACACGTGAGAGAACATATCAGGGGTCGAACCTGCATGCAGTGCTCGATGGGTGGTATGTCCCAAACATGTAGAGGGAACAATCCATGACAGGCTGTGAAACTTCTCCATGAGAACAAACTCTGAGCCTGGAGAGAAAACAACAGGACACTGAGATATTATATGATTGGGATTCAATCTGATATGATGATATATCACATGATATAATTATGATATGATATATGACATGATATGATACCATCTGATGTTAATGTAAACCGACCCGACAGCCTCGGGTCTCTAGAGGTCGAGGAACAGGCAGCGTGATGCTGAACACGTCGGCCTGGATTCTGTCACTCAGCAGAGGAAGAGCAGTCGTCATGTTGTCGCTCACACTCTGGTAAGAAGCCATGTCACCCGCTGACAGGAACGCCTCCCTGAACACAACAAACACATGTAACAAAGGGAGAAGACCCAGTGTTGATGTACTTTTATTACCTCTGACGAGATGTTTTCACTGTTACAGATGAGGATGTTGTTGCAGCTCACACGCACTGACCTGATGAGGTGTCTGACCGCCGTGTCAAACTGCAGGAGGAGAACCTGCCTGCGAAGCTGCAGCAGACGACCCACTGACTCGGGGCTGCTGGGGTCAGACAGACGGTCGACCTGACGCTGGATCTCCTGCAGCTCTGCTCCTGTAGATGTGATGAGATTACTGTGATTTGATGAATACATTTATTAGACAGTGACCACTGATGGTAATGATGCTTTAATAGAAAGCAGACAAACAAACGTACGTGATGACTGTGATGCTTTAGTTGAAACATCCACCTACCGATGCCTTCAGCTCCTCCCCAGTCGGCCACAAGACGCGGAGCCTCTTGTACGTTCCTCCGGCTCCAGGAGTTTTCTGTGTTGCCGAGTCTGGAGAAACTCACCAGGTAATAAATGATGTCATGAAGAGCTGAGACTATGTGCAGGGTGTGATGGAGGGCAGCAGCGCAGGCCTGTGGAAGTAAGAGCAACAGAGGAGGACAGAATATATACAGTATCAAGCAGATCGAGAAGAAGGAGCAACTTAAAACATCAAATTAGATCATCACAGACGTGAACTGCACAACACAACCACAGAGAGAGGTCGGGACAACACTCTACAGGCCAAAAGCGAATAGAACAAAATAATGAAAAATATGAATTATGAAACTATAATTCAATTATACCAATATCCATTAAGTTTGAAATCAGTATAATTTTTGCATTGGGGATTGTCTGTGCAACACTTTGCAGGGATGTTCTAAAATGCCACAATAAAATGAACTATGAGGCAGTAATTCTCCTCAAATCTTTCATTTCATTTCATTTTCTGCTCCTGTACCAGTGTAGGGATAATATGAATATTGATTCAATTGTTTTTTCATATTACCACCACGGAGAGTCTGAAATAAAGTTCTGCACCTGCACACGCAGTCTATCTGAGCATTACAAACGTTTGTGCTATATAATGTCATTGTATTTCATTAGCATGCATACACAAGTGAACCCTGAGCAGCACCTTGGCCACACATAAGACGCAGCGTTTCTGTTGCGAGGGTCTGCAGTGCCCCCAAGAGGATT